TGCTGGAGAGGAGGCCAGGCGCAGGCAGGGAGGAGCTGTGGCTGAGAGTGAGTGTCGTTTAGGAGGGGGATGAAGTTGGTCACAGCTGGATTGGGTGTTGGTGGTGAGGGTGCCCATGGCTTACTGTGTGGGACAAGCGTGAGTGTGGTGATGCCGAGGAGACTTGAGGCAGAGAGGACGAGCCTGCGTTTAACTCCTCCCTCGGGGTTACCACCTGGGGAGAGGTCCTGCAGGGGAGTCTAGACCCAGCTGAAGCAGCCTGGGACCTGTGGCCGGCCTGGGTCCACACTGCCCCCTGCAGACTGCACAGAAAGCAGCATGGGGCAGCCCAGGTTGGGGGGCGTTTAGGCAGGACCTTCGAGAGTCTGCTTTGGAGACGATCTAAACCGTGAGTTTCTACCAAGTGTATGGGTTGGTTCTGGGCACCGGGGCGCCTTGTCCCTGCATGCCAGGCCCTCCTGTAGATTCTGACCCAGAGAGAGGTAATACAGAGGGCCACATCAAGCTGAGCTAACCAGGGCCATCTCGGGGACTGTAAGGCAGAGGGGACCAGAATATTCTAGGCAGAGGGAACAGCCTAGGCAAAGGCATGGAGGTGTGAAACAGAACAGCCGGTTCCGGAGCTACTGGAAAGCCCGGAGGGAGAGAGGTGGTGAGCGCCAAAGGCAGGAAAAAGGGAACAAATGGCCTGGAGTGCCGGACCGGGAAGCTGGTTTTCTCTGCACAAGGGGGCTTCTCAAACTCATTCACCGCCGGAGCAATTCGGACATGCCACGGGGGGCAGGGAGGGGAGGCAGGCAAAGTGGTTCACCCCAAACGAGAGGGATTTTAAGACATGACTCTATTTTAAACACTGGTGCAAGCTTTGCATTTGACTCCAAGAATATCTGTGTTAGTTTTCCTACCAAAAATATGATTTTTAGCACTAACCATTGTGTGCCATGGATAGCCTGGAATAGGACCCATAGTTACCCCGGGACTTCCACAGCCCAGCTTGAGAATGGCACTGAGGGTTATCGGAGGCCGTGGGGAGTTCTCCGTAGAAAAGTAACTGGGTCACCGGGCGCGGTGGCTCAAGCCTGTAATCCCAGCACTTTGGGAGGCTGAGGCGGGTGGATCACGAGGTCAAGAGATCGAGACCATCCTGGTCAACATGGTGAAACCCCGTCTCTACTAAAAATACAAAAAAGTAGCTGGGCATGGTGGTGCGTGCCTGTAATCCCAGCTACTCAGGAGGCTGAGGCAGGAGAATTGCCTGAACCCAGGAGGCGGAGGTTGCGGTGAGCCGAGATCGTGCCATTGCACTCCAGCCTGGGTAACAAGAGCGAAACTCCGTCTCAACAAAAAAAAAGAAAGAAAGAAAGAAAGAAAAGTAACTGGGTCATTCCTGTGTCTTAGGGAAACCTCTCTGGCTCCCAAGGGGAGCACACTAGACACAGAGGACCAAGTAGAGGGCGCCTGGGATCCTTCTGGTGGCCAAAGGCTTCACAGCAAAAATAGACAGGAAGACCCACCTCGCCTGGCCCAAGATTTGTTTTGAAAAGGCTGGGTGTGCTGGCTCACGCCTGTAATGCTAGCAATTTGGGAGGCCAAAGTAGGAGGATCGTTTGAGACACGGAGTTTGAGACCAGATCGGGCAACATAGTGAGATCCCATCTCTACAAAAAAAATTTTTAATTAGCTAGGCATGGTGGCTTTAGCACATAGTCCCAGCTACCTGGGAATCTGAGGTAGGAGGACTGCTTGAGTGTTGGAGGTCAAGGCTGCAGTGAGCCATGATCACACCATTGCACTCCAACCTGGGAGACAAAGTGAGACCCTGTCTCAAAGAAAAATAAAAGCCCACACATACGTATCCTGAAGAGTGGGGCATAGAACAGTGATTAAGAGCAGGGACAGTGACAGATGGCTTGAGTTCAAGTCCTGGCTCTGTTTCCTCCTAGTTGTGTGACCCTGGGCTAGCTATTTAACCTCTCTGTCTCAGTTTCCCCATCTATAGAATGGGGAGCAATAATAGAGTAACAGAAAAAAAAAAGTATCTACTATGTAAGAAAGTTTGTAAAGCACTCTGAAGTCGGCCAGGCCTGGTGGCTCACAACTGCAATCCCAGCACTTTGTGAGGCTGAGGCAGGCGGTTCACCTGAAGTCGGAAGTTCGAGACCAGTCTGACAAACATGGAGAAACCCCGTCTCTACTAAAAATACAAAATTAGCCAGGTGAAGTGGTGCATGCCTGTAATCCTAGCTACTCAGGAGGCTGAGACAGGAGAATCACTTGAACCCGGGAAGCAGAGGTTGTAATGAGCCGAGATGGTGCCATTGCACTCCAGCCTGGGCAACAAGAGCCAGACTCTATCTCAAAAAAAAGAAAAAAAGAAAAGCTCTCTGAAGTCATACTGAGCACTGAAGAACAGCCTACTAAGAAACAGACGCCAGGCATGGTGGCTCACGCCTGTAATCCCAGCACTTTGGGAGGCTGAGGCAGGCGGATCACCTGCAGTCATGAGTTCAAGACCAGCCTGGCCAACATGGAGAAACCCCTGTCTCTACTAAAAATACAAAAATTAGGCAGGCATGGTGGCAGGTGCTTATAATCCCAGCTACTCAGAAGGCTGAGGCAGGAGAATCACTTGAACCTGAGATCATGTCACTGCATTCCAGCCTGTGCAACAGAGTCAGACTCCATCTCAAAAAACAAAACAAAACAAAAAAAAAACGCGCAGTGGCTCACACCTGTAATCTCAGCACTTTGAGAGGCAGAGGCAAGTGGATCACAAGGTCAGGAGTTCAAGACCAGCCTGGCTAATATGATGAAACCCTGTCTCTACTAAAAATACAAAAGTTAGCCTTGCATAGTGGCACATGCCTGTAATCTCAGCTACTCAGGAGGCTGAGGCACGAGAATATCTTGAACCCAGGAGGCAGAGGTTGCGGTGAGCCAGGATAGTGCCACTGCACTCCAGCCTGGGCAACAGAGCGATACTCCATCTCAAAAAAAAAAAAAAAGAAAGAAAAGAAACATAATCTTTTTTGTTGTTGTTGTTGAGACGTAGTTTCGCTCTTGTTACCCAGGCTGGAGTGCAATGGCGCGATCTCGACTCACCGCAACCTCCGCCTCCTGGGTTCAGGCAATTCTCCTGCCTCAGCCTCCTGAGTAGCTGGGATCACAGGCACGCACCACCATGCCCAGCTAATTTTTTGTATTTTTAGTAGAGACGGGGTTTCACCATGTTGACCAGGATGGTCTCGATCTCTTGACCTCGTGATCCGCCCGCCTCAGCCTCCCAAAGTGCTGGGATTACAGGCTTGAGCCACCGCGCCCGGCCCAAGAAACATGATCTTAACCCCAACATTAGTGCGCCTCTCCTAGTCCCTGCCCTCAGGGAGCTTTCACTCTGGTGGGAAAAAAGACATTAGACAAAGTACACAAACCTTCACTGCACGTTGGATAATTTCGTGAAGGACTTGGGCAGAGCGCTGCGAAGCCCAGAGACAGGCCGTGGAGGACGTGAGCGTCAGAGGGAGGGGCTATGGGAAGGGCTAAGTAAGAAGCAGGCAGCGGCCGGGCGCAGTGGCTCAAGCCTGTAATCCCAGCACTTTGGGAGGCCGAGGCGGGTGGATCACGAGGTCAAGAGATCGAGACCATCCTGGTCAACATGGTGAAACCCCATCTCTACTACAAATACAAAAAATTAGCTGGGCATGGTGGCGCGTGCCTGTAATCCCAGCTACTCAGGAGGCTGAGGCAGGAGAATTGCCTGAATCCAGGAGGCGGAGGTTGCGGTGAGCTGAGATCGCGCCATTGGACTCCAGCCTGCGTAACAAGAGCGAAACTCCGTCTCAAAAAAAAAAAAAAAAAAAAAAAAAAAAAAAAAAATAGAAGCAGGCAGCAAGTCTGAAATCTGAAATGTGAGCAGAGAGTCTTCCCCAGGAGAAACTGAGTGTGGTGCTAGAGAGGAACTCCCGAGGACCTGAGGGTTTGAGCCAGCCCTTCTCACGGTCTAACTCCAGAGGGCACTGCTCGGGGCAGATGGTGTCCGGTAAACTGTGCACCCGAAGGCACTAGGGACATTTAGCTGGGAGGAGGGACCCCTTCACCTGGCTGCTGATCTGGAGCAGCATCTTGGAAAGGGAATAGGGCCGGCTGTGAAACAGCTTAGCGTGGGGTTGGGCTGCACCCACTGGGCTCCCCTCCTGGGGCCTCCACCTTTCTTTTTCTTTTTTCTTTTTTTTTTTAGACGGAGTTTCGCTCTTGTTACCCAGGCTGGAGTGCAATGGCGCGATCTCGGCTCACCGCAACCTCCGCCTCCTGGGTTCAGGCAATTCTCCTGCCTCAGCCTCCTGAGTAGCTGGGATTACAGGCACGCGCCACCATGCCCAGCTAATTTTTTGTATTTTTAGTAGAGACGGGGTTTCACCATGTTGACCAGGATGGTCTCGATCTCTTGACCTCGTGATCCGCCCGCCTCAGCCTCCCAAAGTGCTGGGATTACAGGCTTGAGCCACCGCGCCCGGCCCATTTGTACATTTTCTTTCTTTTTTTTTTTTTCTCGAGATAGAATCTAGCTCTGTGGCCTAGGCTGGAGTGCAGTGGTGCGATCTCGGTTCACTGCAACCTCCGCCTCCTGGGTTCAGGCAATTCTCCTGCCTCAGCCTCCTGAGTAGCTGGGATTATAGGCACGCGCCACCATGCCCAGCTACTTTTTTGTATTTTTAGTAGAGACGGGGTTTCACCATGTTGACCAGGATGGTCTCGATCTCTCGACCTCGTAATCCACCCGCCTCGGCCTCCCAAAGTGCTGGGATTACAGGCTTGAGCCACCGCACCCGGCTCTTTTTCTTTCTGTTTATTTATTTATTTATTTATTTTAAGATGGGGTTCCTCCATGATGGCTGGTCTTGAACTCCTGACCTCAGGTGATCCACCCACCTCGGCCTCCCAAAGTGCTAGGATTACAGGCATGAGCCACCATGCCCAGTGGGGCCTCCACCTTTATACACAGAAGCACACCTGCAAAAGGGTGGGCGGGGCCTGGGCCTCTTACTGGCTGAGCACCTAGGGCTCTAGGACCCTCTGGACCTGGGGCACAGCCCAGGTTGGGGGAATCAAGAGTTAATCAAGGGGGAATCAAGTTAATCAATCATTAAGTTGAAGGGGAGATGGGAGTACAACAAAACCCCATCCTGGGTGACAGAGCAAGAGCCTGTCTCAAAAAAAGTGCACCCCCAAAATTGTCCTGAGATGATCTGTGGTGGGGAGTTTTCTGGGATGTCACGTCTGTGCCCCTCTGGCTAGGACCCTGGGGTTATCAGTGACGTTTCTTGCTACACCGGGAGCGCCTGAGGAGGTGAGTCAGCTGCAGCTCCTCAGACCATCATTTAACCCTCGGTGCCACGGTGAACGGGAAGGAGACCTTGCCCCCGTCTTAGGGAGAAAAAGATAGGTTCAGAATTCGAATAGCCGAGTCTGGGCAGTGCCTTTTGCGTACTGGGCCTCAGACCTTCCAAGGGCCTGAGACTCCTGTGCAGAGTGGGGGGCTGGACCCAAAGTTTTCTTAGGACCTTCTGAGCCTGAGGATAAATTGTCCAGACTCTGTGCTGTGCCTGGTCCAGGAGGCACAGCGTAAGATTGGGATGGGGGCTGGGACCGGCCCAGTTGCATCTGTTCCAAGCCCCAGCTTTTTCCCCTTAGAGAGAGAGCCAAGAAAGCTAGAGCAGGCCCAGCAACACCTGGATGTGGGCAAAGCCCGGAGACTCTGAGAAGCCGGAAAACCGGGAGGGCAGACTGCTTCGGAGACGGAGGGTGAGCAGGTTGGGGATCGGGTTCTGGAGTCGAGAGCCGCTCTGAGCCAGCCCCGGGTGGTGGGTGGTGTCCCCAAGGGGCAAAGGGCGCCCACACCAGCTTCTACCCTTTCTACCTCCACCACTAGAGCAGGCCTCCCCCTGGCCTGCTCGGCCTTCCCTGCCCCACCCCTCCCACCCCTGCTCAGATGGCACAACTCCCCCCAGGCCAGCACCAAGTTCCACAGGGACCCCTCCTACCCTCCTCTCCCCCTCCTCCTGGGATCCTGCTGTGCCCTCCCCAAGGGCTTGAGGGTGCTTCCCAGTGTGGACTCCAGCTCGGGGAGGGTCCTTGCAGCCTTGGGGACAATGTATAGAGGGGACTGCAGGGGCTCCGGCTGCTTCTGTGGCCCCAGTGGCAGGAATGCCTCCATTCCTCCAGGCTCCCCCATCCTCCCCATTGGTGCCAGGTGACTGGAGATGAAGGCGGCAGAGTAGGGATGGGGCGGCTCTTTGGCTCCACCGCCACCCCTCCCAGGCCTGTGCCGCAGAATCTGGGAGCCTGGGTAGCTAGAGTCCCACGAGTCAGCCACAGTTTTGGACCCCATCTCTGCTCTCTGCCCTAGGTCTATTTATACCAAACACAGTAGTAGGAGGTGGGCAGGGGGCCGAGGCTGTCTGTATACAGTGACAACAGGTGCTCTGTGTGGGGAAAGAGGCCCGCCCCCAGGCTGACTGTATTTGTCCATAAACAGCCTGCTCCAAGCCCCAGGCCAAGGAAGGGGCAAAGGAACCAGCCCCACTGGAGCTCCTGGGCCGCTCTAGAGGGAAGCTCCCGTGCGCAAGCCTCCCTCTCCTGGAAGCGCCACCCTCAGTGTTTGCACAACACGCTAGGTTGTTTTCTGTAAGCTCCAGAGGCCTGGCTAGGCAGCCCTCGGCTGAAGGACATGTGTCCTGCCTGTGTGTGTGTGTGTGCGGTCAGGCAGAGGAGGGAGGGCAGTGGGCATCAGAGGCCCATTTGTGGGCCCCTGCAAGGCTGTCTGTCTGCCTGTCCTGTGCCCTAGAGTGGACAGGCTTCTCCCATGGGGTCAGGGGAGGGGCCGAGCCCAGGGTTCTCTAGGACTCTGCATGGCTTATGGATCTGGGGCCAGTCTTGAAGCTTGAGAGTGCCCTTCATTATCCCTGGGCCTCTTGGAAACAGTAGGGGAGTGGACATCCATCCTGTCACTTTGTTTTGCTGTACCCCCATCACCCCTTCAAGTTAATGAGTGCTGGGGAGCCCTGGGGACCCAGCTCTTGATTCCCCTCAACCTGGGCTGTCCCTATAGGTCCGCAGTGTCCTAGAGCCCTGAGCCAATAAGAGGCCAGGCCCCTCCCACCCTTTTGCAGGGGTGCTTCTGTGTATAAAGGTGGAGGCCCCAGCAGTGGGGCCTAGAGGGTGCAGCCCAACCCTACACTGAGCGGCTTCACAGCCGGCTCTGCTCCCTCTCCAAGATGCTGTTTTGGCACAACCAGCCAGAGCACCTGTGGCCCAGTGCTGGGGATCTATACCCTGCACCCCCCAGCAGCCTACTCAGGTAAGGGGTGGATCCACCAGGTCCCAGGGAAGGTGCTGCTCTGAAGTTGGGGTGGGCCTCGTCAATTTCAAGCTGAGGAGAGTAGGGCTCCTGCTCCTGAGCTCCTCTGGAGATGGGAAGTGGTCAGATGTATCCGGAGTTTAGTGCGTCCTGGGACATCTCAAAAACACCCTGATCCAGTTAGGACATCTTGTTGGGATTTTACTCAGTATCAGGCAAACCTTGAGTTTGCAAAGACAAGTAATTGGTGGCAGCTGTTGAGTAGAACGGCTACAAATCCGGGACTAGCACCTTCAGGTGGGCCTCCTGAGGATCCAGGGTACTGAATGGGGGTCCCTTCCGTCCTGGCTGCGGCTCAGGGGCCTGCTACAGGAAACTGCGGGCTCCCCAGAGGGAAGGCCTGGCATAGAGGGTCAAAGACCCTTAGAAAAGGGGATGGACAGGGCAGAAAGCTGGCAGAACCCTCCTCTCCCTGGCAGGGAGCCCCCGCCCTTGCCCTACTTGAAGCAGGAGGAGCTGCCCAACATCCCTGGCCCGGAGCCACCCTGCCCCATGTTCCAGTATGTGCTCTGTGCAGCCACCTCACCAGCTGTGAAGCAGCAGGAGGAGACCCTCACCTACCTGAACCAGGGTATGCTGGGCCTGGGGGAGGGAAGAAGCTAGTGGCCAGTGAGCTCCGGAAGCTGGGCCCAGGGTGAGCTGGATTGGAAGTGGCAGGTGCCATTTTGCCCCTCAGAGAGGGGCTCACACATCCCCTTAATCCCTCCCAGGCCAGTCCTATGAGGTGCGGATGCTCTGCAGCTCCAAGCTGTGTGAGGCTACCCAGCGTCCCCAGCTGCTGAAGGTGAGTACACTCCTCCCCAGAAGTGGCAAAGGCTGGGTGTGACAGTTCCTCTGGGCAGGAAGCCAACGTCATCACAGTGATGTCATCATCAGAGAACCCTCTCAAGTCTGTCATTTAGCTGGACCCTCACCACAGCTCAGTGGTGGGCAAGAATTGAAGAAACAGGCACAGAGAGGTTAAGTGTTTTCTCAAGGACACAGAGCCAGTAAGTAGCAGAACTGAGATTTAGAAACACATTTACACAGTGGAGGCCAGCCGCAGTGGCTCACGCCTGTAATCCCAGCACTTTGGGAGGCCGAGGCAGGCAGATCACTTGAGGTCAGGAGTTCAAGACTAGCCTGGGCAATATGGCAAAACCCTGCCTCTACTAAAAATACAAAAATTAGCTGGGTGTAATGGCACACACCTGTAATCCCAGGTATTCGGGAGGCTGAGGCATGAGAATGGCTTGAACCCAGGAGGCCAAGATTGCAGTGAGCCAAGATCGTGTCACTACACTCCAGCCTGAGCAACAGAGCAGACTCTGTCTCAAAAAAAAATCATAAAAATTGGCCGGGCGCGGTGGCTCAAGCCTGTAATCCCAGCACTTTGGGAGGCCAAGGCGGGTGGATCACGAGGTCGAGAGATCAAGACCATCCTGGTCAACATGGTGAAACCCCGTCTCTACTAAAAACACAAAAGCCGGGCGCGGTGGCTCAAGCCTGTAATCCCAGCACTTTGGGAGGCCGAGGCGGGTGGATCACGAGGTCAAGAGATCAAGACCATCCTGGTCAACATGGTGAAACCCCGTCTCTACTAAAAATACTAAAAATTAGCTGGGCATGGTGGCGTGTGCCTGTAATCCCAGCTACTCAGGAGGCTGAGGCAGGAGAATTGCCTGAACCCAGGAGGCGGAGGTTGCGGTGAGCCGAGATCGTGCCATTGCACTCCAGCCTGGGCAACAAGAGCGAAACTCCGTCTCAAAAAAAAAAATAAAAAAAAATAAAAAAAAAAAATAAAAAAAAAATAAAAAAAAAATAAAACACAAAAAATTAGCTGGGCATGGTGGCACGTGCCTGTAATCCCAGCTACTCAGGAGGCTGAGGCAGGAGAATTGCCTGAACCCAGGAGGCGGAGGTTGCAGTGAGCCGAGATCGCACCATTGCACTCCAGCCTGGGTAACAAGAGCGAAACTCCCTCTCAAAAAAAAAAAAAAAAAAAAAAATCATAAAAATAGGCCGGATGCGGTGGCTCACGCCTGTAATCCCTGCACTTTGGGAGGTCAAGGCAGGCAAATCATGAGGTCAAGAGATCGAGACCATCCTGACCAATATGGCAAAACCCCAACTCTACTAAAAATACAAAATTTGGCCGGGTGCGGTGGCTCACACCTGTAATCCCAGCACTTTGGGAGGCCGAGGTGGGTGGATCACGAGGTCAAGAGATCGAGACCATCCTGGTCAACATGGTGAAACACCGTCTCTACTAAAAATACAAAAAATTAGCTGGGCATGGTGGCGCACGCCTGTAATCCCAGCTACTCAGGAGGCTGAGGCAGGAGAATCACTTGAATCTGGAAGGCGGAGGTTACGGTGAGCCGAGATGGTGCCATTGCACTCCAGCCTGGGTAACAAGAGTGAAACTCTGTCTCAAAAAAAAAAAAAAAAAAAAAAAAAATACAAAATTTAGCTGGGCGTGGTGGTGCACTTATAGTCCCAGCTACTCAGGAGGCTGAGGCAGGAGAAATCACTTGAACCCAGGAGGCAGAGGTTGCAGTGAGCTGAGATCACAACACTGAACTCCAGCCTGGTGACAGAGCAAGACTTCATCTCAAAAAATAAATAACAATAATGATAGCCGGGCGCGGTGGCTCAAGCCTGTAATCCCAGCACTTTGGGAGGCCGAGGCGGGTGGATCACGAGGTCAAGAGATCGAGACCATCCTGGTCAACATGGTGAAACCCTGTCTCTACTAAAAAGTGCAAAAAAATTAGCTGGGCATGGTGGCACGTGCCTGTAATCCCAGCTACTCTGGAGGCTGAGGCAGGAGAATTGCCTGAGCCCAGGAGGTGGAGGTTGCGGTGAGCCGAGATCGCGCCATTGCACTCCAGCCTGCGTAACAAGGGCGAAACTCCGTCTCAAAAAAATAATAATAATAATGATAATAAAATTAGAGCTGGGCGCGGTAGCTCACGCCTGTAATCCTGGCTCTTTGGGAGGCTGAGGCAGGTGGATCACCTGAGGTCAGGAGTTTAAGACCAGCCTGACCAATATGGTGAAACCCTGTCTTTAAAATAAAATAAAATCAGCCGGGCGCGGTGGCTCACACCTGTAATCCCAGCACTTTGGGAGGCCGAGGCGGGTGGATCATGAGGTCAAGAGATCGAGACCATCCTGGTCAACATGGTGAAACCCTGTCTCTACTAAAAATACAAAAATTAGCTGGGCATGGTGGCACACGCCTGTAGTCCCAGCTACTCGGGAGGCTGAGGCAGGAGAATTGCTTGAACCCAGGAGGCGGAGGTTGCGGTGAGCCAAGATAGCACTATTGCACTCCAGCCTGGGTAACAAGAGTGAAACTCTGTCTCAGAAAAAAATAAAAAAATAAAGTAAAATAAAATTAGAAATACATTTACACAGCATTATTCACACACATGACCTTTTCTCAAAAAATTATCTAGCCCCCATTCTATGCCAGAAAATGTTCTATGAGCTAGTGATTCATCATAATGAGACAGATATGGTTCCCTTCCTCAGGAGGTTTGCATTCTAAAACAAGTAATTACACATATTCTATGAAATGACGAGCAGTGGCATGTTACTAGAAATGGGTGGTGTGCCTAGGGTGGGAAGGCATTAACTCCCCCTTTTTACAAATGAGGAAACAGGCTCAACTTCTCTAGATTCCTTCTCTGGTTCACAGTAGTGGATGGCAGATGGGCATTTGAACACGGATTGGTGATTCTAAGTCCTAATGCCTCCTTGGGGTAGGAAGGGAGGTGCGGGAAGGTCGGCCTACGTGGTATGAAGGCTCCGTCCTCAGTGCCCGGCGCCCTCTGACTGTGTGCCACGCTCTCCTGTGGCTGCAGAGTGTGGTGCGGGTGTCGTTTCATGACCGGCGCCTGCAGTCCACAGAGCAGCAGCAGCTGGCTGAGTGGAGGTGGAGCCGGCCTGGGAATCGCATCCTGGACATCGGTGAGTGGGGAAAGGCCCGGGGCCCTTCCAGCCTGCGCTCTGGCTTGGAAGTCCTTGTGGACTGGGAAGGCTGAGCCTGGCTCCCTGCTTTGCCACCTGTGCCTGCAGATGTGCCACTGTCCCTGGGAGTCATAGCACCCCAAGTGCTGCCCTCACAGCTCAACACGGTGGAGTTTCACTGGGACCCAACCAAGAGGACATCACTTTTCCTGCAGGTGAGCCTGAAGCTGGGCCTGGGAAGAGGCATGGGGGTGGCAACCGTGTAGGTGGAAAAGGAAGGTAAGTTTGGGCATAGGTGAGGTGGAAATAAGAATGAATCTCTGGGCCAGGCAGGGTGGCTCACGCTGTAATCCAGTACTTTGGGAGGCTGAAGTGGGTGCATCACTTGAGGTCAGGAGTTTGACACCAGCCTGGCCAACTTGGCGAAACCCTGTCTCTACTTAAAAAAAAAAAAAAAAAAAAAAAAAAAAAAAAAAAAAAAAAATTAGCCAGGCCTAGAGGCTTGTCTGTAATCCAGCTACTTGAGAGTCTGAAGCAGAGGAATCGCTTGAACCCAGGAGGTGGAGGTTGCAGTGAACCAAGGTTGCACCACAGCACTTTAGCCTGAATGACAAAGCAGGACTCTGTTTCAAAAAAGAACAAAACTCTGCCAGAAAGGGCCTTGAAGGAAAAATATGGATCAAATCTCAGCACAGAGGAAGACTTGTCAAACATTAAAGCAATGGAGAGCCAGACACGGTGGCTCATGCCTGTAACCCAGCACTTAGGGAGCCTGAGAGGGACGGATCATGAGATCAAGAGATCGAGACCATCCTGGCTAACACAGTGAAACCCCAACTCTACTAAAAGTACAAAAATATTAGTTGGGTGTGGTGGCCTGCACCTGTAGTCCCAGCTACTTGGGAGGCTGAGACAGGAGAATTGCTTGAACCCGGGAGGCTGAGGTTGCAGTGAGCTGAGATCAGCCACTGCACTGGTGACAGAGTGAGACTCCGTCTCAAAAACAAACAAAAAGCAATGGAAGAAACTACAAAACACAGGGCAGAATTGAGCTTCCTGAAAAGTAGTGGTCTAGAACTCCATAGGCAAGATTATAAAAGAGACATCAGGGCCGGGCGTGGTGGCTCAAGCCTGTAATCCCAGCACTTTGGGAGGCCGAGGCAGGTGGATCACGAGGTCAAGAGATCGAGACCATCCTGGTCAACATGGTGAAACCCCGTCTCTACTAAAAATACCAAAAATTAGCTGGGCATGGTGGTGCGTGCCTGTAATCCCAGCTACCCAGGAGGCTGAGGCAGGAGAATTGCCTGAACCCAGGAGGCGGAGGTTTCAATGAGCCGAGATCTTGCCATTGCACTCCAGCCTGGGTAACAAGAGTGAAACTCTGTCTCAAAAAAAAAAAAAAAAAAAAAGAGACATCAAACAATAAATGGGAAAAATATTTGCCACCTATGACATACAATGCATTATGTCCTTTTTTTTTTTTTCTTTTAGAGTCAGGGTCTCACTCTGTTGCCCAGCCTGGAGTGATGGAGTGTAGTGGTGTAATCATTAACTCAAAACTTAATGCAACCTTGAATTCTTGAACTTCTAGGTGCAGGCAGTCCTCTTGCCTTGGCCTCCCAAGTAGCTGGGACTACAGGTGTGTACCACCATGCCCAGCTAATTTTTTTTTTTTTTTTTTTTTTTAGACAGAGTCTTGCTCTGTTGCACAGGCTGGAGTGGAGTGGTGCAATATCAGCTCAAGGTCACTGCAGCCTCCGTCTCCCAGGTTCAAGCTAATATTTTATTTCTATGTTTAGTTTTTTTGTTTGTTTGTTTGTTTTTTTTTTTGAGACAGAGTTTCGCTCTTGTTACCCAGGCTGGAATGCAATGGCGCAATCTCGGCTCACCATAACCTCTGCCTCCTGGGTTCAAGCAATTCTCCTGCCTCAGCCTCCCGAGTAGCTGGGATTACAGGCACGCGCCACCATGCCCAGCTAATTTTTTGTATTTTTAGTAGAGACGAGGTTTCACCATGTTGACCAAGATGGTCTCGATCTCTTGACCTCATGATCCTCCCGCCTCGGCCTCCCAAAGTTCTGGGATTACAGGCGTGAGCCACCGCGTCCAGCCTCTATGTTTATTTTTTATTCTTTTTTTTTTTTTTACTATAGAGATGAAGTCTCACATTATGTTGCCCAGGCTGGTCTCAAACTCCTGGGCTCAAGCAATCCTTCCACTTCACACTTCCAAAGTGCTGGGATCACAGGTGTGAGCCACCACATCTGGCTGCATTATATCCTTACTATATAAAGGATGCATAGGCCAGGCACGGTGGCTCATACCTGTGATTTCAGCCCTTTGGGAGGCCAAAGGCAGGCTCATTGCTTGAGGTCAGGAGACCAGCCCGGCCAGTGTGGTGAAACCCTGTCTCTGCTAAAAATGCAAAAATTAGCCATGCCTGTAATCCCAGCTACTTGGGAGGCTGAGGCAGGATACTAGCTTGAACGTGGGAGGTGGAGGTTGCAGTGAGCCGAGATGGTGCCACTGCACTCCAGCATGGGTGACAGAGTGAGACTTTATCTCAAAAAAAAAAAAAAAGAAGAAGAAAGGCTGGGCACAGTGGCTCATGTTTGTAATCCCAGCACTTTGGGAGCCTGAGGTGGGCGCAGATCACCTGAGATCAGGAGTTCAAGACTACCCTGGCCAACATGAAGAAACCCCATCTATCCCTTTATAACTGAAAAATACTGCCTTTTTTTTTTTTTTTTTTTTTTTTTTTGGCAACAAGAGTCCCACTCTTGTCGCCTAAACTGAAGTGCAGTGGCATGATCTAGGCTGGCTGCAACCTCCGCCTTCTGGGTTCAAGCAATTCTCCTGCCTCAGCCTCCTGAGTTGCCAGGATTACAGGGATGCACCACCACCATACCTGGCTGATTTTTCTTTTTTTTTTTTTTTTTGAGACGGAGTTTCGCTCTTGTTACCCAGGCTGGAGTGCAATGGCACGATCTCGGCTCACCACAACCTCTGCCTCCTGGTTTCAGGCAATTCTCCTGCCTCAGCCTCCTGAGTAGCTGGGATTACAGGCACGTGCCACCATGCCCAGCTAATGTTTTGTATTTTTAGTAGAGACGGGGTTTCACCATGTTGACCAGATGGTCTCGATCTCTTGACCTCGTGATCCGCCCACCTCGGCCTCCCAAAGTGCTGGGATTACAGGCTTGAGCCACCGCGCCCGGCCTAATTCTTAAATTCTCTGTACAGGTAAGGTCTCACTCTGTTGCCCAGACTGGCCTCAAACTCCTGGTCCGAAGCGATCCTCTTGCCTCAGTCTCCCAAAGTTCTGGGATCATAGACATGAGCCACTATGCCCAGCCAAATTTAAATTTTAAATATTTTTAAAAATAGGAAGGTGGAGGTTGCAGTGAGCTGAGATCATGCCACTACACTCCAGCCTGGGCAACTCTGTCTAAAAATAAATAAATGACCTTTTTTTTTTTTTTTTTAGTCTAAGTATATTTCATGCAATAGTTGAGATACACTTATACTAAAAATTATTTGTTGTTTACCTGAGATTCAAACTTTACTGGATATCCTGTATTTTATCTGGCCACTCTACCCTTGAAGGGGAAATCTTGGCTCAGATGTGAGTAGAGGGAGCTTTCTGGGTAGAGGTCTCTCGTGAAAACTCTGCAGGTGTGTTGGGGTCCTGATTACCGGGGCAGGGTAGGTCAGTGGGTTCACTGATGGATGAGAAAGAGCAGCCGTGCAGCAAGGCTCAACTCTTTAAGGTGCTCCAATGTCAGGGTTAGGAACTTTGCTTCTGGTTTCATAACCATGGGGAGCCACTGAAGGATGTTGACCAAGGGAAAGAACCTCATAAAGTGATGCTTTAAGAATGGAAGCTCGGTGGCTCAAGCCTGTAATCCCAGCACTTTGGGAGGCCAAGGCGGGTGGATCATGAGGTCAAGAGATCGAGACCATCCTGGTCAACATGGTGAAACCCCGTCTCTACTAAAAATACAATAAATTAGCTGGGCATGGTGATGCGTGCCTGTAATCCCAGCTACTCAGGAGGCTGAGGCAGGAGAATTGCCTGAACCCAGGAGGCGGAGGTTGCGGTGAGCCGAGATCGCGCCATTGCACTCCAGCCTGGGTAACAAGAGCGAAACTCCGTCTCAAAAAAAAAAAAAAAAAAAAAAAAATGGAAGCTGGCCAGGCGCGGTGGCTCATGCCTGTAATCCCAGTACTTTGGGAGGCTGAGGTGGGTGGATCACCTGAAGTCAGGAGTTTGAGACCAGCCTGGTCAACATGATGAAACCCCATCTCTACTAAAAATACAAAAATTAACGGCATGGAGGCACAAGTCCTGTAATCCCAGCCACTCTTGAGGCTGAGGCAGGAGAATCGCAGGAACCTGAGAGGCGGAGGCTGCCGTGAGCCGAGATGGCCGCCACTTGTGGGCAGCAGAGCAAGAGCCCGTCTCAAAAAAGAAAAAATAGAATGGACACCGGTTGGGGAAAATTGCTGTAGTAGTAAGTGGCTGACAGGTGGCAGGTGGATAACAGGTTTCGGGTAGACTTGAGTCACCCCATTTTCTCTGTTTCTTCTCCATCTCAGGTTCACTGCATCAGCACAGAGTTCACACCCCGAAAGAAAGGTGGAGAGAAAGGCGTCCCTTTCCGCCTCCTGATTGACACTTTCAGGCCTAGTGACAAGGGGCTTCCGCCGGACCACCTGCACTCGGCTGGCTGCCTCATCAAGGTTTTTAAGGTACAGGCAGCAATGCGGCCTGTTTTCTTCCCTCACAGGGCTGTCACCTGGCCTCGCCGGCTGTGTGGGTGCTGGCCACACATTGCTGTGCCCCACCTCTGGGACTGTTTCCTTTTCTGTACACAGAGGGAGGGGTGGGGCTTGGTCTCCGTCTCACAGCCAACCCAACAGAGCCACCGAAGGGAGGCGGGCAGGTAAAGAAGGAGCCTCTGGCCCGGGCGCCGTGGCTCACGCCTGTAATCCCAGCACTTTGGGAGACTGAGGCAGGCAGATCACGAGGTCAAGAAATTGAAACCATCCTGGCCAACATGGTGAAACCCCATCTCTACTAAAATACAAAAAGTTAGCCGGGCATGGTAGCATATGCCTGTAATCCAGCTACTCCAGAAGCTGAGGCAGGAGAATTGTTTAACCCAGGAGACGGAGGTTTCAGTGAGCCGAGATTGTGCCACTGCATTCCAGCCTGGCTCGAGACTCCATCTCAAAAAAAAAAAAAAAAAAAAAAAAAAAAAGGAGCTTCTGAGGCTTTCCTCATCCTCCTACAGCCCAAAGGTGCAGACAGGAAACTGAAAATGGACCGTGAGAAGCTGGAGAAACAGCCCGTGCATGAGAGGGACAAGTATCAGACCGCCTGCGAGAACACCGTCTTCTTGGAGGTGCGTGTGTTGGGGCAAGAGCTGGAGGGAAGACTTGGAAAAAAGATCCTCACCGTACAGATGGGGAAATGAGGGCCTCCAGGGCTCTGACTGCTGCAGGCCCATCACAGCCCCTGGGACTCCACTGCTTCCTGAAGAAGATACTCTCCGCCCTGTCTGTGGTTGTTGAAGCTTCCAGGAGTTGATGCCCTCCAGGCTGCCTGTCCTGCCCGCCAGGGCCCATCGCCAGCTCCTTCCTTGTATGCTCCCTCTGCCTGGCCCCCTCCTCCTGCTGCCACTCCTCCTGGCCAGCTCTTCCTGGGCCCTTCCCCACTGCCCCAGGCCCAATGGCGCGTTAATCTCTTCCTTCGTGTGGAAACTAAGTCCACTTGTCAAGGCCTTGGTCAGCTCTTAATATACAGGTGGAGAGCAGAGAGCAATGACCTGCATTGCTGTGTGTTTGCCCCACAGTGTTCGCCATGGCCGGAGTCCCCTGCAAAACCCCTGCCACCTCTCGGCTCTCTGGCTCTGACCGCTCCCTACTCCTGCAGGCTCCTGTCCCCAGAGAGGTGAGGCAGGATGAGCATCTCCTGTCAGCCCTTTGGGGTGAGAGTGAAGAAAAGAGCTCCCAGCGCAGGGACGGGGCAAGGGGCAGGACTGAGGGTGAGGCTGAGGATTGGTAGGAAATGTGTGGGGTGAGGACAGACGGGAGCAAGCTCTGTGTCCCAACGGTGTCGTCGGAGGGAGACTGGCTGCAGTGCCCCACAGAGTCTCTGAACCCTTGCTCCTCTTCACAGGCTCTGTTCATCACCACCAATCGCTCTGGACACCTTGGGGTGTAGCCCCGTTGGGGTGAGCCTTCCCCTTCCCACTCCCCAGGGTCTCAAAGCCTTCTCGGCAGGTTCATCTCACGCTCCAGAATGGGGTGGCTCTGCCCCCTGGTGGCCAGATGTGGTATGGCCACAGATTGTAACTGACCTGATAGGACTGGGCAAGGAGGAGTCTTCCCCTCTCAGCCTTGGGACCTCCCAAGGGAGGGGCTGTTTCCCTTTCTTGTTCTGTCCCTGGGTCCCGGTATTACCTGGACCATCCATTTAATACCTCAGGAGCTGAACCATAGAGCCTCCATCTCAGAGACACAGCAGTGGCTATATCAGCATCGGTTCTCCAGCTACTGCCAGATGCTGGCCAACTTCACTGGTAAGGCTGGTGTCTGGCAAGAGCCAGACCTTTAGAGACTGAGGGTGGGTGGACACTCAGGCAGGAAACCTGCCTCTGTCTTGGCTTATTGTGGTCCTTTAACTAACCTTTATTGGAGCGTAAGAGTTGCCCAGCATTGTGCTAGGCTCTTGTCTCATGAATGATCCCACATAATTTATATGCTACTCCTTGATGACAGTGCCCAGTGAGGTTAAATAACTTGCCCAAGACACACAGCTAACAAGTGGCGGAACTGGGATTTGAATCCAAGTCTAACTCCCATGTCTGAGCACAGTAGGGCTATATGTAGACTAATAGACTGTGTCCCTTGCTTCCTACCCTTGAGCCCAGGCCTCTTTCCCCAATCTGGCTCTGTCTGACTCTACAGGCCCGGATCTGCTGAAGCTTACACGCCAGGACCTTATCCAGATCTGCGGGGCTGCTGATGGGATCCATCTTTTCAATACTCTTAGAGCTAGGTGCTGGGCACAGCCAACCAGGGTCCCCTTCCCACTGTAGTGGCCCTTATTAACTTAGCTAGTAGGTGTGTTTCATACCATTTTTATTTATTTATTTATTTATTTATTTTATTTTATTATTTTTTTTTTTTGAGACGGAGTTTTGCTCTTGTTACCCAGGCTGGAGTGCAATGGCGCGATCTCGGCTCACTGCAACCTCCGCCTCCTGGGTTCAGGCAATTCTCCTGCCTCAGCCTCCTGAGTAGCTGGGATTACAGGCACGTGCCACCATGCCCAGCTAATTTTTTGTATTTTTAGTAGAGACGGGGTTTCACCGTGTTGACCAGGATGGTCTCGATCTCTTGACCTCGTGATCCACCCGCCTCGGCCTCCCAAAGTGCTGGGATTACAGGCTTGAGCTACCGCGCCCGGCCTATTTATTTATTTTTTAATATAAAGTTTCACTCTTGTTGCCCAGGCTAGAGTGCAATGATGTGATCTTGGCCCACTGCAACCTCTGCCTCAGCTTCAAGAGATTCTCCTGCCTCAGCCTCCCGAGTATCTGGGATTACAGGCATCTGCCACCATGCCCAGCTAATTTTTGTATCTTTTTTTTTTTTTTGAGACGGAGTTTCGCTCTTGTTACCCAGGCTGGAGTGCAATGGCGCGATCTCGGCTCACTGCAACCTCCGCTTCCTGGGTTCAGGCAATTCTCCTGCCTCAGCCTCCTGAGTAGCTGGGATTACAGGCACGCGCCACCACGCCCAGCTAATTTTTTGTATTTTTAGTAGAGACGGGGTTTCACCATGTTGACCAGGATGGTCTCGATCTCTCGACCTCGTGATCCACCCGCCTCGGCCTCCCAAAGTGCTGGGATTACAGGCTTGAGCCACCGCGCCCGGCCCTAATTTTTGTATCTTTAGTAGAGATAGGGTTTCACTAGGTTGGCCAGGCTGGTCTTGAACTCCTGATCTCAGGTGATCCACCCACCTTGGCTTCCCAAAGTGCTGGGATTACAGGCTTGAGCCCTGCGCCTGGCTCATATAGTATTTAAGCCAGAGGCAACTTAAAGACCACTTAGTCCCACTCCCTCCTTTTACAAAAGAAACTCGGGCCCAAGAAGGACAGTGACCAGTCTGAGGTCACAATCCAAGGCTGGCAGGGCTGGTATGAAAAGCTAGGCTCCTGTGACCTCCTCCTTCTGTGGCCATCTCACCTGCATCATGCCGTTTCTGGGGACAAAGATGTTTGTGGGGTTTCCCCCCCCATTTTTTCTCCCCCTAGTGTCCAGCATTCATTAAATATTTAAGAAGTGCTTAGTGACCTCTCTCCCTCGGGACCTGGGAGGAGGCTAGGATCTCTCCTAGGATGGGGGCTAGAAGTGGGAGCTGTTAGTTCAGGTATAAGGCTGATACATACACTGTTTTCCTGACCCAGGTCCATCCATCACCGACTGACTTTGTATGTGGCTCAGGAGGCCTCTAGGCAAGAGAACGAGGTTCCTAAGAACCCTGACTCAGGTGAGGTTCTGGCCTCTCTCCAGAAGACAGGAAATTCGGTGTAGCTGCCTGCCACCTCTTCTGTGGAGGGTGATACCCCACCATTCCTGGGACCCAGAATGCCCTTCTTGGCATTCCCCTACCTTCTATGACCAGATTAGTCCCTCTCCTTCCAGAATGTCTCCATGGGTTTATTCTACCATGTTCTACTCCCCCACCTCACCTGTCACTCCATTAGCATATGGAATTAGAATGTCATCTTGTGATGTACTTGAGTCCCAGTCATTAACATATGGGTGTCCTAGGCTGGCGTGGTGGCTCACACCTGTAATCCCAGCACTTTGGGAGGCTGAGGTAGGTGGATCACTACTAGATCAGGAGATCAAGACCATCTGGCTAACCCAGTGAAACCCGTGTCTATTAAAAATACAAAAAATGGCCGGGCGCGGTGGCTCAAGCCTGTAATCCCAGCACTTTGGGAGGCCGAGGCGGGTGGATCACGAGGTCGAGAGATCGAGACCATTCTGGTCAACATGGTGAAACCCCGTCTCTACTAAAAATACAAAAAACTAGCTGGGCATGGTGGCACGTGCCTGTAATCCCAGCTACTTAGGAGGCTGAGGCAGGAGAATTGCCTGAGCCCAGGAGGCGGAGGTTGCGGTGAGCCGAGATCGCGCCATTGCACTCCAGCCTGGGCAACAAGAGCGAAACTCCGTCTCAAAAAAAAAAAAAAAAAAAAAAAAAAAAAAAAAAAATACAAAAAATGAGCTGGGCATGGTGGCATGAACCTGTAATCCCAGCTACTTGGGAGGCTGAGGCAGGAGAATCTCTTGAAGCCAGGAGGTGGAGGTAAACCAAGATTGTGCCACTGCACTCCAGCCTGAGTGACAGAGCGAGACTCTATCTCAAATATATGTATATATATGTGGTGTCCTATGTCTTTAAACTGGGGGTTCTTCTCAGACACCTTCCAAAAGGTGAGGGATGAGAGGTGAAGTAGACTTCTTTCCTTTTTTTTTTTTTTTGATAAAGATGGGGTTTCACCATGATGGCCAAGCTGGTCTTGAACTCCTGACCTCAGGTGATCCACCCACCTCAGCTTCCCAAAGTTCTAGGATTACAGGCGTGAGCCACTACACCCGGCTGACTTCTTTCCTCCTTTACTTCTCCCCCACCCATGGCCATCTTCCTGGCACCCCTGGTTTCCTGTGGGTGCATCTCTGAACCCTCTTCCCCCACTGACCTCTGCCTCTGTGTTGCCCATGCCCCAAGACTTTTATCAAGAAATCTCTCTGGATGAACTCAGTGCTGTAGAGCTGATGGGGAAACTGGCTGAGCTCCTGGCCCTCCCAGCCAATCAGATCCATCGCCTTTTCCACCAGGGCCCTGGGGGCATCCTCGTTCTCCTCAGTGACCAGGTAAAAGGCAACCATTTCCTGTCAAGTACCCATGGAGGCCTTGCTAACACTTCTGCCTCAGATTCAGCTTTCTTTTTCATAGCATGGCTTGTTCTCTTTGGCTCTAAGAACAAAACCATCTTTGTGCCCACTTCTCTTATAGGTGGTCCAGAATTTTAAGGATGAATCATACTTTGTGGCTGTGGTGAAAAAAGGTAGGGATTTTAGAGGCAGAGGAGTGTGGCTGGCCAGCCCTATAAAGGGTGATAGGAGTGTGCTGAGCATATATTCTGTCTCCTAAATGAGACTAAAAGGCTCTTTGGGGACCAGGCGAGGTGGCTCAGGCCTGTAATCCTAGCACTTTGGGAGGCTGAGGCAGATGGATCACTTGAAATCAGGAGTTCAAAACCAGGCTGGCCAACATGGCAAAACTCCATCTCTCCAAAAAATGAGCTGGGCATCGTGGCGCACGTCTGTGGTCCCAGGTACTTGGGATGCTGAGGCAGGAGAATCGCTTGAACCCAGGAGGCAATCGCTTGAACCCAGAGCAAGTCTGTCTTAAAAAATAAAAGGCTCTTTGAAAGGGGTTAAGTGGGTGTGTCCCAATTAACTGGCAAACATGCGCGAATGCCAACTTTATGTCAAGGGGAGGGGGATTTGTATAGCTAAAAGACATTTACTGCTTAGGAAAAATGTGGTTGAATAAATGCATTCTCAGGAAGTAAAAAATGCTCCAGTTTCTGTTGTCAGGGAGTTTATTAGAGGGGAAGCTAAGGCTTCACTTTTCTCCACCTGCCCCCCCGCATGATACAAGGCAGGACAGGTGCTTTCTGGACATCACCTGGCCTACAGCACCTCTGACTAGTCTGCTTGGCATCTGGTTATTCAGATGTTTGCCTTCCACCCCTCCACATGCCAGAGCTGGTCAGCTTGGTGTATGTATACAAGGGGGTTAGGTAGGAAGAGGTAGATGTGAAGTGGGGTTTTATGAGTTGGGTGTGCCAGACACACTGCAGGCTGCTTGGAGGTTGAGGACCTGACTCATCCATTGGTGCCTTTTTACTGCTTTCAGTGCAGAATCCAGATGGCTACTACTTGGTTCTGACCTAGGCCCAGGGGAACTCCACTGCTCAAGACTGATGGCTCCGTTGTCACCAGAAACCTTGTTAAACGCTTGGCTGACTCACCAGGCTCCAGGTGAACCAAACTATCTTGCATCTTACCCCTGGGGAGGAGGCAAGTAGCCTCCAGCTTCACTTTTCTTTCTGCTCAGCAGCAATGGTTGTTGGAAGTCTCCCTTGCCCATTCATTCTGAGCTGGCCAAGTTTATGAGGCAAAAAAACTGGCATGTTGAAAAACAGCTTTTGCCATGAGCAGTGTTGGCTGCTGAACACTAAGAGTGTGCTAATTCATTTAAAATTTTTACTTGCCCTGTTCCTTTTTAAATTAAAAGTTAATTTTTAAAAGGTATATACACTTAATGTGTTGTCCAATGTGTTGAACGTTTAATGTGGCGTTCAGTTTTCTTGGCTTTATTGTCCCCAAGGGGAAGTATCTTCTGCTTAAACTATAAACTAGGGCAAAGGATGGGGTCTGGAACAAGGGAATAAATCAATCCAGCTGGATCTTTTTTTCCCCAATTAGTTTGGGCAAAACTAATTACTGAAGCCTCCGAAAGACAATACTCAAAGCACTGTACCTACTTTAAAAACTCAGTTCTACCAGGTGCAGTGGCTCATACCTGTAATCCCAGCACTTTGGGAGGTGGAGGCGGGAGGATCACTTGAGGTCGGGAGTTTGAGACCAGCCTGACCAACACGGTGAAACTCCGTCTCTAATGAAAATACAAAAACTTAGCCAGGTGTGGTGGCGTGTGCCTGTAATCCCAGCTACACAAAAGGCTGAGGCAGGGGAATTGCTTGAACCCAGGAGGGGAGGTTGCAGTGAGCCAAGATCTCACTACTGCACTCCAGCCTCGGAGACAGCGAGACTTTCAGAAAACAAGACAAAAATAAAACTCAGTTGTAAGAGATTTAAGAATACTATTAGCTATTCTCTAGAATTAAGGCTATGGGGCTATCTTTTAGAAAAAAGACGTACTGTTTTCTTAGTTTTAAGAGATGAGGGCTCTGTTGTCAAGGCTGGTCTTAAAATTCCTGGTATCAAGTGATCTTTCCACCTAACCTCTCAAGTATCTGGGATTACAGGTGTGCACCGTGTTTGGCCTTTTTTAAAACCTTAAATATTAATCTTTCATTTTTTTATCTTTTTTTTTTGAGACGGAGTTTCGCTCTTGTTGCCCAGGCTGGAGTGCAATGGCGCGATCTCGGCTCACCGCAACCTCCGCCTCCTGGGTTCAGGCAATTCTCCTGCCTAAGCCTCCTGAGTAGCTGGGATTACAGGCACGCACCACCATGCCCAGCTAATTTTTTTTGTATTTTTAGTAGAGACGGGGTTTCACCATGTTGACCAGGATGATCTCGATCTCTTGACCTCGTGATCCACCCGCCTCGGCCTCCCAAAGTGCTGGGATTACAGGCTTGAGCCACCACGCCCGGCCTCATTTTTTGATCTTAAGAAACATTTTCCTAAAGTCATAAATGTATTTTTTTTTTTCGAGACCCAGTCTTGCTCTGTTGCCCAGAGCTGGAGTACAATGGTGCAATCTCGGCTCACTGCAACCTCCACCTTCTGGGTTCAAGCAATTCTCTTGCCTCATCCTCCTGCATAACTGGGATCACAGGTGCGCACCACTGTGCCTGGCTAATTTTTGTATTTTTAGTAGAGACACGGTTTCACCATGTTGGCCAGGCTGGTCTCTAACCCCTGATGGAGTTAGGATCCGCCCACCTCAGTCTCCCAAAGTGCTGGAATTACAGGTATGAGCCATCTCCCCCAGCCTTTTTTTTTTTTTTTTTTTTTTTTTTTTTTTTTTTTTGAGACGTGGAGTCTCGTTCTGCCATCCAGAATGGAGTGCAATGGCGATTCTCTTGGTCTCAACCTCCCGAGTAGCTGGCACTAGAGGCACTCACCACCTCACCCAGCTAATTTTTTTTTTTTTTTTTGGTAATAATTTTGCATTTTACAAAAAAATTTTGTATTTTTATATTTAACCATGTTGGCCAGACTGGTCTTGAACTGACCTCGTGACATGCCCACCTCAGCTTCCTAAAGTGCTGGAATTACAGGCGTGAGCCACCATGCCCGGTCTTCTTCTTTTTTAATATAAAGAGGTTTGACTCACAGTTCCACATGGCTGGGGAGGCCTCAGGAAACTTAAAATTATGGCAGAAGGTGAAGGGGAACCAAGATACTTTTTACATGGCAGCAGAAGGTCCATATGCATATTTTTAAAAGTTTGAATTTTAGTCAGGCGTAGTGGCTCACGCCTGTAATCCCAGCACTTTGGGATGCTGAGGCGGGTGGATCACGAGGTCGGAAGTTCAAGACCAGCCTGGCCAAGATTACTTGGAAGGCTGAGGCAGGTTTTCTTGAACCTGGGCAGCTTAGGTTGCCATGAGCTGAGATCGTGCCACTGCACTCCAGCCCGGGCCATAGAGGAAGACTGCGTCTCAAAAAAAAAGTTTAAATTTTAGTTTTGCTTTTCACTTTTAGGTCAGTAATGCACCTGAAATTGATTTTTGTTTATCTTGTCAGATAGGAATCTAGTCATATTTTTCTATATAGAAAGCCACTTTTTTAAAAATTTATTTTTGAGATGGGAGTTTTGCTCTTTTGCCCAGGCTAGAGTGAAGTGGCACAATCTCGGCTCAATGCAACCTCCTGCCCACCCCAGGCAATTCTCCTGCCTCAGTCTCCCAAGTAGGTGGGATTACAGGCATCGGCCACCAAGCCTGGCTAATTTTTGTAATTTTAATAGTGACGGGGTTTCACCATGTTGGCCAGGCTGGTCCCGAACTCTTGACCTCAGGTGATCCATCTGCCTTGGCCTCCCAAAGTGCTAAGATTATAGGCATGAGTCACTGCACTCAGCTAGAGAACCATTTTTTTTCTTCTTTCTTTAGACTGCTCAGCAGGAGAGAACCACTTTTTTATTAAATGGTAAGTGCTTTCTTAAAAGATAAATGGTATCAGGTCATATCTTTGTTACATTTTCCCGTTCCACCCACCCTTTAAGTTTTACTATTAAAATCCTTAAATATACAGAAAACTACATTTGAAGATTTTCATAGGCACAAAGTAGAAGACAAGTCATTTTTGAGTCTGCTGAATATTTAGTTCAAAGTTACTATGAACAACTGAGCAGACAGACACTGCTCACATCCCTGGAAGGGACTGTGTTGGGATTAATCTAGGGCAGGCGTCCCCAAACTGCGGCCCCAAGGCCATTTATCCAGCCCCCTGCCGCACTTCAGGAAGAGGCACCTCTTTCATTGGTGGTCAGTGAGAGGAGCACAGTATGTGGCAGCCCTCCAACGGTCTGAGGGACAGTGAACTGGCCCGCTGTGTAAAAAGTTTGAGGACGCCTGATCTAGGGTAAAGGTAGGTCTTTACCTTATGTGGGACAATAAATGGATGTGAAGTGGGGCCTACGATTCCACAGGGCTCCCCCAGGGTGCTTCATGGCAAGGTAGATAGAGATATAAATTACTTTGCTGAGCTGGCTCTACTGCTCACCTCTACCAAAAGGACGGGGACCCTACTGCATTTATGTCTGTGTATCTCTATGTCCTAGAGGCCTCTAGCACAGACAAAGTATTGAAATATTCATTGGGATAAAGGGAATAAAAGCTGCCAACATGTGAGTGTTTACTATGTACCATTATCTCAATCTTTACAACTATACAAAGTAGATACTGTAGTCTCCATCTTACCAATGGAGAACTGAGAAAGGGGAGTTAATTGGCTGAGGTCACATAGGATAAATGACCTCAGGTAATCTGACTTTTGAGCTTGTGTGTTTAACCATTACACTACTCCATCTTGACTCCTTCCTAGACAAGGTAAGGGCAATGAATGCTCTGCATAGAGAGAAGGGACCTGGGTTGAATTTTATCCATCAAATTAAGGCAACTTATTTACAATATGTCTTTCTTATTTCTTAAGGACAAGTGAAGCTCAGGGTATTAAATAATGGCTGTTAAAAAGTATTAAACAGAGGCTATTACATGAGTCAATAAATGAGTATTAAATAAAGGCTATTAAGGAGTATTTAAAAATGTAAGGATGCCAAAAAGAAGTCCATTCAGTCTCAGGAGGTTTTGTAGTTCCAGGCTTCAAGGAAGTTAAAAATCACTGCTCCAAGTCATGCTACTTCCACAGGAAAATGAAAAGTCTTCACAGCTTATTTTCTTTAATTACATCATAAAACAAAATTAGAACATACAGGAAACAATAATAGTTACATAACAATTTATATATTTATATATAAAAAACTTTTTTTTTTTTTTTTTTTTTTTTTTTTTTTAGTCCAAAGATTTTTAAAGCAAAAGGAATCCTCTACTGCCACCTCGGATTTTATTTATTTTAAATAACACCCCTCCCCATCCTCAAGCGCCAAAAGTACTGGGTGCAAACAGTCACTTGGACAGCTAATGGAACCTGATGCTAAGTTACCCCATAGGCAACTGTCAGCTCCAGAGATTGGCTAAGCATTTGGAACAGGTCTGGTGGAGAACAAGCAAGGAGCAGCTCCCACACACTGCAGCACTCCAGGGTAGGCCCCACAGCTGGGGAAGGAGGGGATTAGACCTTGCGGCCAACCACCTCTGCATTTTACCCCCTCAGGGGAGTGGATGGGGGTGTGGGGTACAGGGATGAAACAGAGCCTGAAGATAAAAATGTCTCCAACAGCACCATTTACCCATCCATCTCTGTCCCCGAGCAGAGTCTGACAGGCATGGGTAGTCCTCACAGTTCTCTGAGCTCTGCACAGGTCACATTATTTGGATCTGTGCTCTCAGGGTCACTGGAAGGTGGGCAAAGGTGAGCAGAGCAGCTGAGAAGTGCACACGGCAGGTTACCTGGAAACAATTCCTGGGAGAAAAAAGGAAGAGGCAAGGGCAGGAAGCATCTGAAGGCCAAGTCATAAAGCAGGAATGGAGAGAAACAAAATTAAGAAATGCAAAATTAAGAAGGCCTCTCTTCTCTTAAAGTCACCCTTTGGAGTGGGTAGTCACAGACACTCGGGGCTCCAAGAGCCACAGCATGGCGAGAAAGGACAAGGGGTAGCTTCTGAGGAGCACAGTCTCATGGATCTTGTGTAGGTGCCAACAGGCTCTAGGGAGTTTTATAAGTTAGTGTGTAATTTGGAAGTGGAGTGGGGAGGGGAGTGAGAAGAAATCACAAGTTCATTCCTTCCTGTGCTATTAGAAATTAACAGTCATCAGAGAAGCACAGATAAGAAATTATTCTTAAGGGAAAGAAAAAAAGTAATGTAAACCCGAGAAAGCAGCAGCAAAGATTTC